TATGCAAAAAATCGTTAGATTTTCCTATTTCGACTGAACTAAGGAATGGCCTTCACTAGGCCGTCCTTGGTTTACGTAATTGCCAATAGAAGGCTGCACAGAGAATTCGAAAACAAGAAGGTTTCTACCGAAATTTGGCCTGCCACTAAGTCTCATCTCAATCATTTTGTACAAGTAAAAAAAAAAAAATTCATATTTAACAGCACAGAGGGTAATTAGCAGATGTTTACATTTTTGAAAGTGTGTCGCCTCTAAAACCATTTATCTAAAATATAAGCGCTACTGTGAATTTTNCATTTATCCGGCTGCTTTTTATTTCTTTCAGTATTTCTGCACAATTTTGCACTTATTTTGCTTTTTTCATCCGCAGATATTGAAACCAAAAAGTGAAGACCGTAGCCCACTGTTAAAAAGTCTTATTAGGTGGAGCAAATTTGTATTGGATTTTACTATTAGCTTCGCATTATTAAAAATAATTTACTGCTATGTAAAAAATCGTCAGATTTTCCTATTTCGACTGAACTAAGGAATGGCCTTCACTAGGCCGTCCTTGGTTTACGTAATTGCCAATAGAAGGCTGCACAGAATTCGAAAACAAGAAGGTTTCTACCGAAATTTGGCCTGCCACTAAGTCTCATCTCAATCATTTTGTACAAGTAAACAAAAAAAAAATAAATATTTAACAGCACAGAGGGTAATTAGCAGATTTTTACATTTTTGAAAGTGTGTCGCCTCTAAAACCATTTATCTAAAATATAAGCGCTACTGTGAATTTGCGCACAAGAACAACAACAACAAGTGCAACGTAATGATATCTAAGGGTTTACGATTACGATATTATGACAACAATAAACGGCACATCAATTCTCTTTAATTTCGCAGCAGTAAGGTTGATTTTTATATTCAATCAAATTTATATATCTATCGATTGCAAACGTCCCTTTGTAACATTACGTAATTATGTTAATATATGTTTGCCTGTACGTACATATGTATGTATGAATGTACGTGCGAGTTGCAAACGAAAACCCAATGTAAGGCGACTTTTGTGTGCGGTAAATAATCACACATAAACAAGCATGGAAAAAAATGAAAGTATGTAAACAAAAATACTCAATATGCAACATAAAGATGCAATTTTCAGCCAGACAGCCAGCCTGCAGGCAGAAGACTCAGTTATCCATCGATTGCAGTGCTACAAATTGCGATCATTTCCGCTGTCGATTACTGATAACATTCATCAATGATGCCCCTCTTCCCTTCATACTTATGTACATACATATGTATAGCTACATATTCCTCACTTGCCGCCAAAATCGACAATGCACCACAATAAGTATACGGCATGTTGCAATGATGCTCTGGCTTTTCGTGTTGGCGGTTGGCTGATGTTCGCTGATTACCTTCGGCGGCATCACAAGTGATTGCAAAAGATCGTAATTTTTACTAAACTGTTAAGCAAGAAATATTATCAAACGAAGATGCTGCAGCGCCAGTATTGTTATGTACAAACAAACATAAGTATGTATGAATTTATTTATGTAGTTGAAAAAAAAAATAAATAAATAGTAAATAAATAATTTGCCACATTCGCCTCACAATCGCGCAATCTCATTGAAAACATCTTTTTACCATATTCGCTAACTCACTCACCCACTTTTGAATTGACGAGAATCCGCTGATCAGATTTATGTGCATTCCCGAACCCTGAGAAATGTTGAAAATGGAACTAATGCGGCATATAGTATGTATGTACATTAGGGTGGTTCAAAAAGGCACGAAAAAAAAATTTCGTAGAGATTCCCAATAATAATACCCAATTATTTATTTAACTATTTTTTCATAGAAACTATATATATTTTATAGGTCCGCCAAAACGCAATGGGGGGGGGGGGGATTAATAAAAAATCTTTAGTATTGAANGGGGGGGGGGGGGGGGGGGATTAATAAAAAATCTTTAGTATTGAAAAAATGTTTATATAAATAATACGGTATTGTTATTGGAAGCCTCCTGAAAAGAACCAGAGTGTTTCGATCGAAAAATATTTATTTTCCAGATTTCTATACCATTTCTACAAAACATTTTTTTTTTTCATATAAAATACGTGGAAATCTTTGAGTGCTTTGAGCGACCTCTAAATATTTTTTTATTTCAAAATAAAAAAATAGGGGCATATTTTTTCGATATAGAAGAATGCTAGTGGGTGAGAGGAAAAAATTCCGACTTTACTTATTTTGGCCCACTCTAATATACATATACGTATGAGCGGCTATGCGCAGCATATGTATGTAAGTACATGCATACAAATCCGCCAAATTCTCTGTAATCGCTGTTGCAAATAAGTGATATGTTTACGATTGCTTACACAACATTTGAAAATTTAGTTGTTTTACGTGAAAATTTTCCATTTTTATGGTTGTCATTTTCATTATTTAATAACTTGTCAGGATTTTCATATTTTTTTTTGCTATTTTTATTTTGAGCATTCACAGGCGCTTCATTCAGATGCTTAAAGGGTTAATTGTTTTTATCTTATATTCTATCTAAGCATGTATAATTTTTTTTTGCAAAATGCTTACCAGCTGTCAATAGCATGCTCGTAAGTCATAAAATTGCAAATAATACTCGTAAAAAGTATAAGAATTTGCAAGCATGCTTGTGTAAAATATTTTTACATATCCCATCATCATATTGACTATTGCCTCAAATGNTTTTTTTGCAAAATGCTTACCAGCTGTCAATAGCATGCTCGTAAGTCATAAAATTGCAAATATTTGTTAAAACTCGTAAAAAGTATAAGAATTTGCAAGCATGCTTGTGTAAAATATTTTTACATATCCCATCATCATATTGACTATTGTCTCAAATTCATGCGCACATCTGCCAAGTGACAGCTACTTGCTGTTGCCGTTTGAATTATGGCCCTGTACTAAAATTTTGCTCACGTTTCTAAATCGCCTCTGTTTTTTTTTTTAATCATTGTAATAGCTTTTTTAACCTCAACGAATAATCACAGCCACCAGGCAGAAGGATGATGTCGCGCGTATTAAAAATATGTGTTTGTGCTTAACACTTTTCATATCACGTCCAAGTACGTTCCACATCTGTAACCATTACGTTGGTGGTGGACGATGCGGTTGCGATGACTTCCGTCTCTGCGTCCGGCTAGGCTTTGAACACATTACTCATAAGCGCTTGAGTGAACACTCGCCAGGGTCAACTGGATAGATGCTAGAGATAGCTTCCAGGATGCCTATCTTCAGTGGGCCATTGGGTTCGGTGAGGAAACGAGAAGGACTTACACGAAAGAAAACCTTTTTTGATACCTGCCCACTTGTTATTAAGTATCTGCCGTATCTCTGACTCTAACCTGTTTCTTCTGTACACTGAGGGAAATAATGCATAGTAAAAATGAATACTTTATATTTGATTATCTTTTAAAAACGTTCGTATTTAAAAATAATATTTTCACACAAAATTTATTACGCAAGTATTTGACTGTTCACATCTGAGTATATATATGAGTGTACATATGCACCCCAAGCATGCAGAGCGCCGCTCAGAGAGCGGTGAAAACACATACATTCATACAANGCATGCGCACATCTGCCAAGTGACAGCTACTTGCTGTTGCCGTTTGAATTATGGCCCTGTACTAAAATTTTGCTCACGTTTCTAAATCGCCTCTGTTTTTTTTTTAATCATTGTAATAGCTGTTTTAACCTCAACGCTTAACACTTTTCATATCACGTCCAAGTACGTTCCACATCTGTAACCATTACGTTGGTGGTGGACGGTGCGGTTGCGATGACTTCCGTCTCTGCGTCCGGCTAGGCTTTGAAGACATTACTCATAAGCGCTTGAGTGAACACTCGCCAGGGTCAACTGGATAGATGCTAGAGATAGCTTCCAGGATGCCTATGGGCCATTGGGTTCGATGAANACACATTACTCATAAGCGCTTGAGTGAACACTCGCCAGGGTCAACTGGATAGATGCTAGAGATAGCTTCCAGGATGCCTATCTTCAGTGGGCCATTGGGTTCGGTGAGGAAACGAGAAGGACTTACACGAAAGAAAACCTTTTTTGATACCTGCCCACTTGTTATTAAGTATCTGCCGTATCTCTGACTCTAACCTGTTTCTTCTGTAGGGATACTGCTACCATGAAGGGATTTAAAGCATAAGTTGGAGTGCGTCTCCTTCCGGAGGCGATGAATTTTTCCTCGTACGTACATATACATACACTCGTATCATGATGCCTTGCACTGTCTCATTTTTCATAAATAATTACAACGAAAGTTTTAAATAAAATAAAATATAAAATTATACAAAAAAATTATAAGAATTTATTTTGCTGATATTTTCACAATCATTTTCACANAGTACATGTTTATCCGTACAAATCGCGTGCTGTGGTGTTGATGGATATTCAACATTTGAAAGCAAATTTATATGCCTGGGTGTAGCTGAGTGCGCAAAGATGCATGCCACAATTTGTTGATGTCCGGAGATGGTCAGGGTTCGAATTCCTGTGCAGGCTACATGCAAGTTAAATATTTTTTTTTTAGTTTTTGTCTTGATTATTCACTTCACGGATGCTTTTTCAGAACGAACGCGGTCATTTTAATATGCGCGTAATTGAATTGAATATTTACCAATATACAGTACTTTCGTTGACGTTTATAGTAAGATCAATTCCGTTTCTATTTGATTTTAATATTTTTTTCCTCCAGTGTAGGGATACTGCTACCATGAAGGGATTTAAAGCATAAGTTGGAGTGCGTCTCCTTCCGGAGGCGATGAATTTTTCCTCGTACGTACATATACATACACTCGTATCATGATGCCTTGCACTGTCTCATTTTTCATAAATAATTACAACGAAAGTTTTAAATAAAATAAAATATAAAATTATACAAAAAAATTATAAGAATTTATTTTGCTGATATTTTCACAATCATTTTCACATTCAGCAGATGACGTTTTTTTTTTTTTTGGTTAGCTGTGAAATGCCACATTTCGCTGTTCTGGTTTGTGGGCATGCATCTAATACACAGCCATAACTTCTGTACAAAAATAAAATCAAATGTTTCTAATATATAGCTAAATATTAGAATAAATATTTATTCGCCAGTCATCATTTCCATGAATTCTGCAAAGAGAATAAGAAAATTATACAGAATGATTATAAGAATTTATAGTAGTTTATTATTCAGTATTAAATTTTGTAGAAAATGGATTATCCTTAAGCAATAAATGGCAGACACATTTTATGTTTTGTATCTACATATGTATGTGTGCATTGGTGCATGTGTGGAGAAATGGAACTAAAACAACTTAAATGTATTTATACTTTTTTATTGTGGACAGCAGCAACAGATTCCGCCCACGCAAGCATTCGTAGCTTCAACTAACTAAATGTAGTTATGTATGTTAATGCATGCGTTTGTTTGTATGTAAATCTTAATATATTTATATGCATACTCAGGTACATATGTACGCACATAGCATGAATGTGAAATTTCGGCAGCATAAAAATAATTTTTAATTCATGCGCTTACAAACATATGTACGTGCATACATATTTATTTTATAATCTTTATACGAATGATTTTATTACTGCTGGTTTCTCCATTCGATTTATGTATGTGTGTATGTATTTTTGTTAACGCATTGCATTGTTGTTCTATATTGTATGTATGTAGTCTATTTTTGTTTTTTGTTACCGTGTATAAATATTTGTTTTCAAATTTTTAAATATCTATTAGCAACGAATTATAAATTCAGCCAGACACATGAGAAAGTGGTAAAGTAATGAATGTCGCCAATGCGGAGCAGTGACACATGTACATACATACATAGATAGTGCTCTACATTCTCTATTTTTTCTACAGCGCACAGAGATCGAACTTGAAATTTGAGACGACAAAAATAGNTTTTTCTACAGCGCACAGAGATCGAACTTGAAATTTGAGACGACAAAAATGGTTTTTTTTTTTGTTTTAGTTTTACTTTTTTTTAATCTGGCTACCCTATCGCTTCTACAGTGAATCCTTGCGTTGACATAATTCCTCAGAGCCAAAGAGCCAAAGGATATTCTTTTTAGCACTTAAAGTTTTCAACGAAAAACATCCATCATTTTGGCCTTTCTTTTAGTTTTTCATATACAAAGTCTCCAGTGAAAAATGTATGAAGGTCTCTAGGGGTTTTATCGTCGTTGAGAGTAAAGCCATTGCAATCATCGTCCCAGCCACTCTGTGAATCTTGAGTAGCTTATTCCTGGTTATAGATTCATGCACGGACGGCCGCTAGATAGTAATGCCGTGTAACGAAATTACACGTACAAGGGCTGCTTACATACACTGAACATTGGGAGCTTCAAGCACAATTTTTTCTCTATATATTATTTGCAGGCGTATACGGCAGTTATAGTCTCCCCACGCTGCTCTCCTTTTTCACCGTTTTAGAAATGGAGATCCACTAGTTGAAAAGTGCCCGAAGGCGATCTAGATACGAGTATTACGACCGAGCGCAGGCAGGAGAGCTTAGGTGAAAAAGTGTTGTAATAATTTCATCGCAACATCTTCCATACAGATGTCTGGAACAATGTGGGTATGGTGTATTAATTGTCTCAATGGAACAATATCTGATCAAGAATACATATTTTTGGTATGCACACTTCCGTGATTTGCATAAAATAAGGCCTGACTACCTAGAAAAATCTTATGGCCTTAATCATAAAAAATAAAGTAGGTTTAAAGAGCTTTATAAAATTACGTTTTCATACATTTTTCAGTTTATAAACCTTTTTTAAAGCTACTTTATTTTTTATGAATAAGGCCATTAAGCTTTGGCTGTTCTATTGAAATTAGAATGAAAAATATTTTTCATTTGCCAGATTTTAAAATTTTAAGGGAATGCCCTAATTATTAATCTAAAGGTGTCGTCAGTAAAGTTATATAAACATAATATTCGTTTCCATCAAATGGTACACCGCCGAATCAAGTTTTTCTTCTACACAAATTTAATTATTAATTCCTTGAAAACCATCACATAAATTAGTATTATCCGTTTATTCTCCTTAAACTTCGTCCATTTCGGCTAAAGTATTTCAGCAAGCAACATTCGAGGTATATTTAATAAATAGCTTGTTATTATTCTTCACAATTTGTTTTTCTGCGCCAGTGCAAAAATATTTATCAATTGTCAAAATATTTAACTCGATAACGGAAAATTTTCAGCTTAATTTCAATGCTGGCGTTAAGCCAAGAGATAAGTGATTGGAAAACAAACAAAAAAAATCTTCAAACGAACTCGGCAAAGCAAACAATTAAAATCACTTTTTTTTGAGCATTTAAAACAAACCAAAATCAAAATGTAAAAAATCATATGGCTAATTATTCAAATATTTTTCTTAAGCTGAAGGTCTCACTGAAGTNGTTACTCGGTGCGCAACCAGCTAAAGGATTTCCACCTTCGACGAGTGAAACCACCATTACAAACTGGGTGAATACTTCGCTCTACAGTTGCCGAGAGGCTTCGAGGAGCTGCAGGTGGGCAAAACTTATGCGAGCCTCAATCTCTGAGGGTTTTGCTAGGTATTTGTATTCATTGAGCATACAACAGTTGAGTGGTCACTTCTCGTCGCATAAACACCTGACAACTCCATTTGCCCTTCCTGTTTTGAAAAGGATGTGACGGTCGAACGCTTGAGAGGCTCTTTAACACCCAACCGTATGCTCCGAGTCTCATCGCGGCAATTTCTGCAGAAATAATTCATTGCTTTTGTTATCGCTGCAATAGTACAATAGCCAGAGTGTAGAGATCTACTGATTTTTATACGATCTTCTGTCTGTTTGATATTTGACATAATGGTCTTTTTTTGGGCCAGAAGTTACTTCTAATGGCTATGGTGTATTCATCTATTTCTCTAATATGTCCGCTTAAAAGTGATTTCATACAGTTGCCGTCATCTTTATAGCCATCTTAGAGCCATAGCTCATTATCACATATGATGCCTTGCTACCTTCTGTGTAGCTATCTCGGCGGCGCTACATTTCCAAATACCGAATTTATTTCAGTACTTTGTATCCTCAAAGCCGCTTGAATATTGACGAAAATAGCGTTTTTACGGCTGCATCCGTACTGTTTAATATACGACTATGTAGTTGCTTTCTTTATATGTAGCATAAATCTCAGCTTTGAGTACTGTGTAGTAGTTTGGCAGCCAGAAATACTTACTCATATTTACGTTCTTTGAATAGAGGCCATATTTTACCATCAATGTTAATGGATATACCACCATCTGTCACCATTATTCTCTGGTCTGAAGGCATATTTAAATCTTTCTTTTTAAACCCCTAAACAGCAGTCACAGCTGGCTACTAAGCCAGTTTTAATTCAATTAAGCTGACCTATTTTGTTCCAGTACTACAAACATCTGATTATTTAAAAAAAAAAAAAGATCAAGGGATATGAGGTTAACTAATGCTTCCACAGTAATATTAGCCACCTTCGATTAGTCACATCTCTGTTCGTTAAGTTTAAGTTCTGCAACAACACTCACTTTTACAGTAAATTTAAGACTAAGCTTTTACACATTCCCTGCTTTTCACAAAAATTATTTACTTACCATCGAAATCGACGGTACCGGAACCATCGGAATCGATTTCCTCAATCATGATGTCCAACTCCTCATTGGTCAGCTGATCATCCAATTCGCGGAGAATTTCACGCAGGCAAGAGGTGGGAATGTAGCCATTGCCTTGTTTGTCATAGAGCCGGAAGGCTTCACGTAACTCCTTTTGCATGGCTTCATCGTCCTCCTCAACAATGAATTTGGCTGCGAGTTGAACGAATTCCTCGAATTCCAAACGACCAGACTCTGAATTGCATTGAGAAGAAGAAAAAGAAAGAGAAAAATATATTTTAATATGCACTCTGATATTTATTTTATTTTTTTTTCTTTATACACAACTCACTATCTTCATCGACCTCTTCGATCAATTCTTCCAAGATCTTCTTGTCGAAGGGCTGACCCATAAGACGCAGAATATCAGCGACCATTTCAGTTGAGATGCTGCCGCATTTTTGATTATCGAAACTGTTGAAGGCCTTTTGCAACACGGCGATTTGCTCGGGAGTCAGATCCTCATCCTGTGAAAGGATATAGGGAAAATTCTTTTGTTTAGCAAACTGAATCGCGCAAGCAATTGATTAACACTTAATTTGAAAAGTAGGAGGGAAATATATATAAACTTTTAACTGCTTGCATTTAATTTGCAAATTTGATGCTTATTGAAATTTTCAGCATACCATGATGTTTAGCTAGAAATTCTGTGTGTTGCAGTTCAGACCAAATTCGAAAACAGAATGATTGCAATACAATTCGCAAGCTCACATTTGCATGGAACTCTTGCTGATATCTTTCCATTTTTTTTTTTGCATTTTGTTTATGCATTCTTCCCATTTTAAATTTTATTTTTATTCTTTTCATAGAATTTTATAATTGTTTTTAAAATTCACACGAATGTTAACAACACGCATGAGTGCAACATACCAATACATGCATGAGTTTTTCTTCGCGCAAAAATATAATAATAATAGAATAAATGTGCGAATTAAATTTTATTCATTATTTATGATTTTTTCGCATTTTAATTAAGTAATTAATAAACTAAATAAGTAATAAAAAAAAAATATTTTCATTTTGCTTTCACTCACAATCAATAAATCACTCATATTTGCTGTGTGTTTGTTGTTAGCGTTGTTGAGTTGGAAGTGGTTTTTTTTGTTTTTCTTTTTCTTGTGATTTGCTTGTTGAAACTGACTTTTGTGATACCTCACAGCCGTACAATTGGACTCTTCAGCGTGCGATGCTCAACTGAAATTAGTTCAACAAATTAGTTTTGACTACAAAATGTTCCAAAAACATCAAAATCATTTAGTTCACAAAGTGGCAGCAACAACAGCTAGTACTAGAAAATACTACCTATAGCATAGAATGTAGTGAAGCGAGTCGTTTAACTTTGCTGCTGATAAAATTCTGGCGCTCGGTTGCCCCTCTCTCTCCCCCTCCCACTGCACCTAAATAGAAAGCTAATGATAGGCAACAATAACTGACACAACCACCCACACTCTGGCCGAATAAAACTATAATATAGAATGTATGTGCATTTGTAGGTATACATACATACATATGTATACACATTTTCCCACACGCCTACAAAGGATCCACACATTTTTACATACATACATATAAACCATTTAACGCGCCATAGAAATTTCCAAATGATAGCAACAACAAGCAGGCGAGCAGCATAAGTGGTAGCTTTCATCGGTTTATAGAAAATAGAGCAATAAAATGCCACAATAACAACAATGGCAATAAATACAAAAACAATGACTCGATGAATTTTATAAAGCAGAATATATCAAACCACAACAGCGTAAATAAAATCAGCTTTGGTATTTAGCACCCTCACACAAACACATCTGAAAATTATCCAAACAATGAAAATTATTTCACAGCAGCAAAAACCAACAACTACATACTGTGTAAATTGTGAAAAATATTGTAAGGTTGGTGGATTCTTTGCTTCATTCTGCATATGTGTGTATATTCCAAGATATTTTGTAGTGGTTTGCTAAGTTTAACGAAATCGAGTTGATATAAATATTTAAAACATGACATACACTGTGAAAAAAATATGTACGAATTACTTTTCCAATGCCACTTTCTTTCTCCATATACCGATGTCAGGCATTTTCTTCCAAAAAAAATGCTTCCATAAAAATGCATGCTGGAAGATTTGTTTATATGGAGAAAATTTTCAAAAATTAACGCTTAGTGAGAGCTACTTTTAAAACTTTTACTATACTAACCTTGAATGGGCTACAAAACTGCATACTCAAAATATTTCTAAAAAGTCGCATTAAGAAGCTCGAAATTTTTACGAAGGTTTGTTGATTTTTTTTAATGTTCTAAAAAAATTTTAACTACTATTTATTTGGTTTTTTTTACAAAGTAAGTTTTATGGAAAACAACTGAAACTAAAAAATATTAAGAAAAATGGTAAAATCTTGTCAATATGTGAGTGTCGCAAAGTTAGTATAAGCACTATATGTATTGAATATTCGGATCGAGGCTAGGCATATATTACAATAATTATACTTCTGATACTGGAGAGACGAATTTTTATTATTATTTCTTTATGCACTTGTTCCACCGATTTTAAGTGACTTAAGCCCGCCAGTGTACCTTGTTTTGGTATAGAAATAAAATATGCCAAATGTCCGTACATTAATGGCATAATTTAGGCACAATGGCATTTGTCGGTATCGATTATTTGCCAAACATATATGTACATATGTAATCCCCTGCTTAAAATCTGTCAACAGCTGAAAATAATACATTTAATCCGTATCTACTTTTAGACAGATATTTGGTGATGAATGGTAGGACATTTCACTCAAATAAGTAAACATACATATGTACACAAAAACATACAGTGGCGCTAATTTTTTAGTTTTCAATTTTAGTTTTTTTTATTAATACGAATTATCTTTGTTTACTTGTAAAAACCAAAAAAATATTCTAAATAAAGTAGACAAAAAAATTAAGCTTTGAGGAACAGAGTCTTTTTTTTGTTTCTTTATGTGTGAGTGAGATGAGAAAATAAATTAGACAGAATGCGGGAGGAGGCCAAAATATAGCGCTGTCGGGGCATACATATAACTGTTAGGCTATTTTGTTGGGCTGCACAATATTTGTTGCTATATTTTCTATATTTGCACACACGATAATACATATCTAAAAGCTGGCATGCCTTATTGTTGCTACGAAATTATAAACGATTCGAATTTTATTGTGTTTTCCAAAAAATTTTATTCTATTTTTTACATTTTCCGTTGTCAACTGGTAACGTTCCGACGTTTTTCTGATATTTTTAAAAAATCGCGTGACAAAATATAAACGCACACAAATACATAAGTACGTTTGTATAGGCATGCGGTATGTACGTGATTATCTATGCTTTAAGCTAATCTCACATGATAAATCATATCTGAGCTAAGCTCGGCATTAATTAGATACGAGCATTACCGGTAATTTAACATTTAATCAGTATTCCTATTTAAATCTATGATTTTTATAGGTACTTGTGTATACATGTAATGTAAATATGCAATTAATTTTGAGATCTCTTGCAATATTAGATAATCTCAATATTTAGCGCCAAAAGATATTAGATTCATTAATGATTTCCAAATTTCTCAGGTTGTCAAATGCAGTGCATACATGTTCGTGGCCTACTTTTATATACACACAAACATGTTATGCATATACAATACATAGAAAGATTAACTACTTCCACTACTTTTTTCAATTAGCATTAAAAGATTTATGATGGACAACAGCGACTGACGTTGATAGAAAGACAAGTATATTTACCTTTTACGAAAACTCATTTTTATTGACTCTTTTCATTACTTACATATATTTTTGTATACATAAGTTTGGTAATTACTTATGTATGTATATAAATGTCATCGCGGGTTTAATTAAATTTTTTTAGGGTTTCAACAATTTTTTCTTTGAATGCAATCTATTGTAAGCAGAGATCCAGCATAAATAATTATTTCATGGTGGAGTTTTAAAAAAGTCATCCAAATTTTCGTAAGAATTATAAAAGTCTTTTGATATAATTATGTGTGAGAAATTTTTTTTTAAGTCATCGATAACTGTTATTTTAAGACTTATATAATAGAAGTATTTTTTTTATAATAATTATCGCGAGATAAATCTTTTAAGTCCTTAAAGACTTTAATTTTGAGTCTTATATTATAAAAGTCTTTTGACAATAATTATGGGTGCGAGAAAATTTTGTATATAGACCCGAACGGGTCCCAAACCAAGCCCCAACTGTCCCAAACTGCTCCCTAACTAGTCCCGAACTGACCCCCACCTCGCCTTGAACCTGGCCCCAACTAAGCCTGAAATCCTCCTGAACACGTCCCGTCTTCTAAGACTTAACAAAATTTTCGCCCTCATAATTACTATGTAAAGACTTTTAATATATAATATAAGTCTTAAAATAAAAGTCTTTGAAGACTTAAAAATATTTATCTCAATGATAATTATTATGAAAGGACTCTTATAATATAAGTCCTTGAATAATAATTATAGATGGCACGAAAAATATTTATCTTAATATAATGATTATTGATTGACTTTTATTCTTTTCTGTTATAATAGTTATGTCTCTGATTGTAAGTTAGTAACGGCTACGTGCAAGTAGGTGAAAATTTGATGTCAAATCTATTCATATACATTTTTTCTCCATCCTCTCAGCTCCGTTCGTTTGATTAGATCCGTAGATAAGTAAACCAGTTTTATTTTTCCGAAGAGTGTTGCCACCAGCTAAAAAACGAAATTAAAATTAGTTAATAGTTAAAAAAGTTAAAATAAAACTGCTTAAAAAGTTAAATGACTTTTTTGGTTTTGAAATAATTTTTTCTAAACTATATGTAACCCTCCTACTGTTTAAAAGATCAAATTCAATTCGATTTAAAGGAATTGTGAACTTTGTGCAAGCCTTGAAATTTTTATTTATGCGGTTTCTGATACAGATCGACCCATTTTTGAATTGAAAATGATTAACAATAAATAAATAAACACAAATTACCCGCAGCATCATTTTGAATTTTACTGCTATTATTTTACTCGCTGTAGGTATTTACTAGCTTGAAAATATTTTGAGCAGTGTTGCCACCTATTTGAAAATTTTATCTAATTCATTTATACGCAAGTTAAATGAAAAATAAAAATATGGGTGTCAAACGAAAGAGTTTTAGGAAAAAATTTCATTGAACGTTTAAAATATTTTTGAGGTGTTTTAAGAGTAAGTTAAAAGAATTATCAAATGATGGTGTTAAATGAATTTGTGTTAAAAAATGTTGTTTGAAAATTCGAATTTAGTTAATGTATACACATGTTATATCACATATAAAGCGTGAGTGTCAAACAGAGTACAGCTTCACAGATAAATAATACGCGAGGGCATTTTTTGTGAAGGTCGTCAGACCTACACCATTCAAACTAAAGAGCTTGGCCTGCAAATATGGAATAAAGTTTTGTTTTTGTTTTTTAAGTTAGAACTTTTTCAGCCGAACAGGGTGATTTAATACTTGAAGAAATGAATAACCGACACCAAGTGAGACCTCTCTTTACTCAAAAACGGCTGGATGAATTTAGATGGAATGTGGCAAACGGATGGCTTCTAACTCTGAATAACATATGGAATATTATTTTGAGTTTTCCAAATAAGGTTTCCAACTTTTTAAATATTTTAATTAAATATTCTCTGTATTGAAAAGGGGTTTAAAACTAAACCTAAAAGCTTCAACCTTAAT